CGCATCGACCTCCCCCACAAATAATGTAGCTGTAACGCCGCCAAAGAAATCGCCAAACGACTACATCTTTGGCAAGTATATTGGCGAAGGCAGCTTCAGCAATGTGTACCTCGCTGTGGATGTGCATACGAAGCGTGAATATGCAAGTAAGTGTGAAAATACAGAAAAAAAAAACAAAATACATATTTATTTACTTAAAATCTAAATCTTATATTAAAATCGTATGTACATATATATGTGCGTACACTTGTGTTGAAAATCATTGCTACAAATATCGCCAGCGATAATGCTCAATGCGATTGTCAGTGGAACAAAGTAATGAAACCAAGGCACATAAATACTTATGTACATACATATGTGTAACATGTAAAAAAATAAGTAATTTTAAGCAGCAAATCGTGAATGGGATTGTTCCATCTCCACTAGGGTTGCCAACCGTACTATAACATATACTATTGAAAGAAATATTCTTTAAAATAAAAGGTCATACTGAGTTTATTAATTGAACCACAGATCAAAAATTGCTACATTTTTAAAAAATACTTAGAAAGAATGAACAAATTTACTTAAACTTATTTCGTTCCTGCTCCTCTATACCTGCAACTTCGGCATTCACATAAAGGGTTTTTTCTGTTATGAATGTCAAATGTCGAGATGAGAGAAACAAAGCGACTACCTCACCAATAAAAATTAACTTTTGATTTATATTAATTTAAATATTTCAAAGAAATATAAAGAGGAAATGCATAAGAAAGAAAAAAGATGTACACTTAAAAAGCGTTTTGATTTTTTCTTTTTTAAATATAATACTATATTTATTTGAAATGTACTATATTTTTTCAGATTTTTTTTGAAAAAGTACTATAAATTTCTTAGAAAATGTTGGCAACCCTAATCTCCACAACGCTTGTGTTCGCTCGTTTATTTGCGCCTGGCGCCAGCAAAGCGGGTGCTATACAGCAGCAATAAACAACACCTCAAGCAGTCAACCGAGATGAAATGCCAAAATTGACAAAAACAAGCAAACAACAAACAACTGCAGTGGGACGTATGTATGTACATAATTATGCAGTGTGAAGAGCAAGAAGGGGAGATTAATATACTCGCGCGCTGATCTGGCTCTAGCACCAGCCCGAGCTCTGGCACTGACTCCAGCCCGTAGCTGCCGGCTAGTTACTCACATTAATACATACGGGCGCTAGTTAGGTCAATTAGTGAGGAATGTGGCTAGTTGAGCTGTTGTTAGAAGCAGCTCACAGCTTCAGGCAAGCAAACGAAGCGCGGGCAGCAAGCACCTGACTCCAAGTGCTAATTTCTGTTATTGTCCGCTAAACAACCAACCAACCACAAAACAATCAGCTGTGACTATATATGTATGTATGTATGTGTTTCTAGATATGATAAATGCAACAGTGGCATTAACAAGTTGTTGGCCTTCTAGAGATTTGCACCCGAGGCTGGGGCGCACAACTCATAACTAATTCGCCAGCAACAACAGCACCATCACCATCACCATTGCCAGCGCGTACAGACAGCTTTCAAACGATCGCGCTGCAATTCGCATGTGACTAATTGTGAAATTAAAATAAGCGCTTGTTCACGATGAAGCGGAAAAATTTAGACGGCTGTTACTTAATGGGGAGGAGTAGCTAATACATACATATGTATAGGTATTTATATGTACATACATACTATGTACGTCGTTTTGATCTAATTTGTTTGCTGTTGTTTATGGGTATCGCAAATCAGCGCCTGTCGCGGCGCTTTCAAGTCAGCAATCGTCAGCAATTTTGCTTGCTTGTATTTCTCAAAAACAAATTCGACAAATCTTATCCTAATCTATAAAGAAAGTTCCCCTGCTCCCTGCTTAGAGCTTATGCACCATCTCTTGTGTTGTCTGCTCTTTGTTTTCGCGCTGGGTTTCCCCATTGACGTTTGCAGTGATGGGCGCGCGCACGCACGGCTAAAAGCAGCTGAGCGGTCACGAAACGCTGAGCAAAACACGCGAATTGCTGTTGTGGGTACATATGTACATATGTGCGTATTTACATATTTACCTGCTGCTAAGCTATTTACAGCGTTTTTATGATTTTACAACAATCAAACGCGCCCAGTTATTGTTTTGTTTATTTCTCTCTCCGCTTTGTTGTTGTTATCTGAGTTTAAGTGCTATTTTTTTGTTTTTTCTTGATTTCTGCTGTTTGTGTTGTTGTAATTTCGTGATGGCTGGCGTCTTTTTTAACATTTAGTGCCCGTAAACAGTGTAAGCAGCCCGGAGTCAATCGAAAGTTAACAATGAATATGAAAAACAAAGCTCCGCCGCCGCGTAGCTGATTGAATTTGAGTGACTGTTAAACGAACTGGCTGGATTTTGGTCTGTTCGCCGTCGTCCAATGCGTTTTGGTGCGGTGTGCGGGGCATTGACGTCGCTAATCGTGCCAATTTCGATTGAGTTTTTGCGATAGGCAATCATCATCAGAGTGTTTACTTTGCTGTTTTTAATACATACATATGTATGTATATATGTATGTATATCGCTATTTTTCAATTTTTTTTTAATTTTTGGTATTTATGGCATTAGAAAGTGGGATACTAAATGACTATGGCTGCGCTAGTTGCTTTCCTCCACTCAGCCGGTGGTTTCTATTAGCGAATGCGTATTAAGTAAGCCTACATTTCCGATAGCAATTTGATTTTATAATTGCGAAACTTGATAAAGCAGCGAGTTATTTTGTTTGTCGCATTTTGCCACCCACCTTTCCGCGCTGCCTTTTGGGAGGCATCTTTGCGCCCGCCGCATACACATGTATGTGTGTATGTAGTGCGAGTATTACGTGGTAAATAAATTGTTTTGTTTGGCGCTTTTACTGCAGCTGTTGTTGTGAAGAAATAAATTTGTTTACTTCAATCAACGCACGGCACGAGAAAAATAGCCAGTCAGTCAACCAGCCAGCTGCGTGTGGCGGCGGGTGACTCTGGCAATCGAGTGGAGAAGGAGCACTGCAATAATAGGCTGACAAGTGCTAGGCTTGTCATTCGCTGGCATGCGAAGAAAGTGATGGCGGCGTAGATGCTACGATAACATAAAAAGCGCTATGTTTATACATATACATATATGTACTTATATACTTACCAGAATTGTAAACACAATAACAATGTCAAAGTACAGATCTGTTATCAAATCGTAAGCAGCTCGTAATTATCTCTGGTGCATTCACACATGCATAGAAACAAACTCATAGCATTTACATATGCACTGGCGGCAGAAATAATGGACTCGTCGTACTTTTAAGAACTTTGGCTATATTTATTTAGTTTATTTTATGTTTAATATTTTTTTTTTATAAATCCTAGGTAGTTATGCAACAAACATCATATAAATCTGCTTTTCAAACTTTGAAAAAAAAAAATTATAAAAAGTCGACAAATTTTCACCAAAGCCTAGCATCGTCTACAATTAAAAAAAAAAATTGTCAAAAATCAACGGTATCTTCTAGCCACTTGAAACTTACACTTTATTATACTAAAATTGAGCTACAAAACTGCATACCAAAAATGTTTCTAAAGATTCTTAATAAAAATTAAAAAATTTGGTGAAAATTTGTTGAATTTTTATAATTTTTTTATATAGTTTGAAAAGGAGATGTATATGGTGTTTGTTGGATAGCTAGCCAGGCTTTTATAAAAATAAATATTAAACATAAAATAAACCATGGAATAATAACCAAAAATTCCCAAAAATAAGGCGAGTTTCTTCAATACAAAGTATGTTCGACAATTTTTTTTTTTTTGTATGGAAGAAAATAATAACCGTCAGCAAAATAAAAAAATTGTCAAAAATCATTGCGATTTTTTAGCAACTTTATCTTGAACTCTGTTATACTAAAATTGAATGCATACGTAGAATTTTTCTAAAAATCTGATTTGAAAGTTGCAAATTCGTACGCAAGTTTATTTCTCGCAACGCTTGCAAAATTTTTTATTATAATTTTTTTCGCAAATTTATTTATACAAATATTATTCATACTACAACAGAAAACATACATAAAAATAAAATCTCTAAACATTCTGAAAAACTCAGCAAAATTCAATTATCTGTGCCAATATTTTTATCCGCCGCTGTATGTACGAAAAAAAAATGTCGACACGTGTAGGCGATAAATTTTATGTTTTTTTTTTATTACATTTTATTTACTCTCACACCACTTGTTGTACCTTTCCGTCTCTCATTCGCTCTTTAGCGCGAATATTCAATGCTATTTTTTTCGACTCCACTATATTTTTGATTTTGAATGTGTCCGTTGCTCTTAATTGTCGTTCTTACAGTAATGTTCATTGTCAATAAATTTAGTGAACCTACTTACTGTTTCGTCATTACATTACATTGACCCCATACCGCCTGTCATCGCACGTGTGTCCGTATACAGAGTTGCTTCATTCATACCTGGCTGGCTTGGCCCCATTTTCGTTGTGTTTTTCCGATTGTTTTTTTAATTGTCAAGTATTCACAGTGTTATTATTCTTGACACACGCTTAGCTTTATTTGCCCCGAATTTTGGACGTTATGAGCTTGCAATAGCAGCGAACCTGAGTTTATAGCGTTGGCTGGGGTATGTATTTGGTTTTATTACATACATATGTATATTATTCAGAAGTTCAAGTGCAAGTTACCAGAAATATTTGGTGTCCAAAAAGGTTATTTTCGTTATAAAACTAAAAACTGATTGAACAGTTTTAAAAGTTGGTGCGATCTCCATGAAGTTTCCTACCCAATAAATACTTAGCAACACCCTTGTGCCGCTCTGCTCTTACTTCCTCCAGCACAGTGCCCTGCTTTTCAGCTATGAATATTTTCGTCAGACCGTCTATTCGACTTTTCGGGCTTGCTTAGAATGGGGAAGTGTAATTTTTTTTCTGGTCATTTTAATAGAGTCGGTGGCTTACGTGCCGTAATGCAAGTACGGACTAAGTAAAAGCTTTGAACTCGATTTTTTATTACTTTTGTACAATTCCACTCGCGCAAGTTTTTATGTACGGATTTCATCTGCTATGTACATTAAGCCGGATCACGACATATGAAAGAAAAAATGTTTAGCGTGTGTCTCAGTTTTATTTAAACATTTATGACGAGTGAAAATTTTGGGTG